CCTTGCCCCAACCCCTGCCAGCAGCCCCCCCAGCCCCTCGCCCCTCATAGTCCTGGGGTGGGGGGACAGGCTGCCAGTCCCCCCATGTGCCACACACCACAGTGTGTGCCCCCCCATACACACCCCATTGTGTGTGTGCACACAGCTGGGTCTGTCTCAAGCATCCCCCCCCTTGCCCCCCAGCTGTGCCCCCCAGGAGAAAGGGCCAGACACAGCAGGTAATTTATATATAATATATATATTTACTCTTTAAAAATAAACCTTCAGTCCCCACTACCGCCTGTACAAACTACAAAAATAAACCTTTGCTCTCTTTGATATAAATAACTTAGATGGCGTGGGGGAAGGGGGAGGAGGGAAGGGCTGCCCACCGTGCCCACGCCTGGCACGGGGGGACGGGGTCCCCGGGGCCACCCCAGCTCAGCGGCAGTGTCTGGGGGGCGAGGGGGTGGCAGGGTGGGTGCTGGGTCCACGGGCACGGCAAACACCGCTGGAGTTAAAGTGCTGGGTAACGGCGCGAACCGTGCCCGGGGGACGGGGACGGGGACAGGGACAGGGACAGCCCCACCGCACGGGGACACGGTGAGAAATTTGCTTTCCCAGAGAGATGTGGCACTGCGGGCACCCACGTGAGCGTGTGCTGCCAAGGGCCTGCACCAGCACGTGCTGTCACCAGGGCAGAGCACGAGTGGGGCACGAGGGGCCGTGACCGTGGGACAGCTCAGGGGCTTAGCACAGGAAGGACCACCCCAAGGATCCCCCACCCCAAAAACCCCCTGCCTGTGTGGTGGGAGCAACAAGCTCCCTGTCGCCACCGCAGCATGTCCCCGATCTCCAGCCCTCCTGTGCTCGCCAGTGGGGAAACTGAGGCACGGAGCAGCGTGTTGGAGCGGGGAGGGGTGAGCTGCCCGTGGCCCCCCAGCACCCCGTGGAGTGGGGGGCATGAACCAGGTCTGTGCCCCTGCTCCGGGCTCCCGCTGCCTCTGGCAAAGGGTCTGCCCCCTCCCTGCCTGCACCCTGGGCAGCCGGGCGAGGCCATAGGCTGAGAAATAAATCTTTTAAAATAAGCTTAAAAATATATATCTCTCTATAGATAGTTTCCCTTTGCAATAAATAAAGGTGGGGGGTTGCCCGCCCCAGGCCTTGCTCACGGCACCCCAGGGTATGGCCAGGGGACACCAGGGCACCCTGTTGGGGGACCCCAGCTCGTGGCCCAGGTGGGGACCATCCCAGGAGGAGGTGACAGGGAGCAGGCAGTGACCCCACAGAGGGGGGGAGCTGGCAGGGCAGCGAGCCCACCTCACCAGCAGCTCCAGAAACAGAGGGGGGAGGGGTTAGTGCTTCCATTTCTGGGGGTTGGGGGGTGGGGGGCAACAAGCCTGGGGCAGGGTAACCCCAAACCCTGGGTGAGGGGACACGGCACCATCAGCACAGCCCCGAGTCGGGGACACGCGGGCATGGCGTGGCCTGCACACAGCTTGCATAGAAGTGCCAGCCTGCCCTGCCGAACCCCTTTGCAGGGGGCTTTTCGGGGGGGGCTGGTCCTCTTCGGCCGAGAGCCGGGGGGGGCATCACCGCTCCGGCGATTAGCAGCACGATGCGGGCGACCCCGCTCTGCACCCTCCTGTGCCCGCCGGGTGCCGGGGAGATGCTCTGCCCAGGAGCCACCAACCTGTGGGGAGAGAGAATGGGATGGGGGGGGTCAGCCAGGACCCTGCAAACCCACCTCACACCCCCAAGCCACCATGCGTGACCCCTGGGGTAGGGTGCCCGTGTCCCCAAGCTCACCTAGCGCCGGGTGCCTGTCCCGTGGCGTCCCATGCTCTGCATCTCGAAGGCATTGGGCATGGCGGTGCCACCAGTGCTGGGCTCCTCCAGGCAGTCGTGCTCACCACTGGCGAAGCCCTCGGGGCCAAAGGTGGGGTAAGACCCAGGCAGCGTGGGGTGCAGGGCCACCGTCACCGAAGCGGTGGCCGTGACGGTGGTGTAGCTGCCAGCGGGACCCTGCAGGTGGGTGCTGTAGGTGGGCAGGGCTGCGGGGGGGGCTGGCCGGGCACCCGGTGGGCACGGCTCCCCGAAGGACAGAGGGGGTGCAGGCTGAGGGCCAGGAGCCTCCTTCTTCCCCTGGACCTCTGGGCTGTCCTTGTAGGGCTTCAGCACCTGGAGGGGAGACATGGAGCATGAGGGACCCCCAGCCACACTGAGCATCCCCCCTGGCAACCCCACCAGCTCCACATGGGACCCGTGAGCCCCCGTCCCCAGGTTCTATCCATGACCCTCTCCCATGGGATGCTGGGGAGCCAGCGATGCCACGGCGAGCAGAGACACTCACAGTGATGCGGGGGAAGCTGGGGTCCTTGCCGGCCTCCAGCAGGATGTGCGCCGGGGTGGGGGGCACGATGAAAGGCCCCTGGGGGCTACCCGGCCCCACGGCCTCTGCGTAGCGCTCTGTGTCCGAGGGGTCCGGGAAAGCAGCGGGCCAGGCAGGGGCTCGCCGGACATACAGCCCCCCAGGGCCCAGGCATGGGGGCACTGGCTCCGGAGGGGGCAGACGGGGGCCATTATCCACTGGGGATGCCTGGGGAGAGAGGGGACTGTGTCAGAGGGACCAGGGACATACAGGGATGCTGGAGTGTGAGGTGGCAAGGAGGACAGGGTGATGTGATGATGGGGTGAGGGCTGTGTGGGGTGAGGGAGATATGGGGTGAAGCAGGGATGGGGTCAAATGGGTCAGGGAAGGATGGGGGGAGTCAAGCGTGGGGTGAGGCAGGCATGGGGTCAAGCAGGTATGGGGCAAGTTGGTTATGGGGCACAGAAAGGATGGGGTAAAGCAGGGATGGTACAGGGTGAGGGATGGGCTGAGGTGGGTACGAAGTGAGGTTGGGACTGGACGAGGCCAGAATGGGTAGAGGGTCAATGGGGAACAGGGTGAGGGGCAATGAGGGATGAAGAGAGGTGGGTACAGGGTTGGGGAGGGACAGGGAGAGGCAGGATGGGGGTCTTGTACCTCAGGGGGTGGCCCAATGACAGAGAGCAGGACTGGCAGCAGCACCAGCCCGTTGAGCAGCCCCAGCAGCGTCAGGATGGTGAGCACCGCAAAGAAGTACCTGGGGACCGGCAGGCAGAGGGGGTAAGCAGGCACAGCCACCATCAACCCCATCCCACCACAAACACGGCTTCCCACACCACACACCCCGGCCCCACCATGTCTTCCCAGCCTCCATGCAAGATGGGGTAGATGCCCCCACCAAGACACAACCTCACCAGCTGCCCCACATCCCCACCTCCAGCCAGGGAGGGGGCTGCTGTGCTCACCAGCCCCCATTGCCAAAGCTTTTGGGGTGCAGCAAGCAGCTGGTTTACTGCCCTCTGGTGCTCACCTCATGATGAAGTCAAACTCGGAGCCGGCCAACATGAGGACACCCAGGAGGGTGGAGACAGCACCGTCCATCACAGGGGCAAAGGTGTGCTCTAGCGCCGCAGCCGAGCGCACGTTCCTGCTCCCCGCAGCCGTCAGGAAGCCCTGCATGGGGTGGGGATGTCACACAGGGCTTGTCCCCCATGTGTCACCCGTGACGTGGCCACCCATTGGTACATGGCCAGGGGGTGAGGGTGCTGAAGAGAGGGGACTGGGGTGCCCTGCGGTTGGGCAGGGGTCTGCCTGTGCTCACCAGGGCCACATGGACGGTGAACTCCACACCGATGCCCACAGAGGCGATGAGGATGACCACGGGGATGGCGCTCAGCTTGATGCCCATCAGCCCCATGATGCCAAACAGCTCCACTGCCATCATGGCCAGGATGGAGACCTGAGGGGGCGGTGGGGTCAGTGAAGGGTGACTCTGACTGGCTGTCCCCTCGTCCCTCCACCTGGCATGCCTGATCCTACCCCTCCATATAGAGCAGCCTCACCCCATTGTCCATTTTCCCTCTATTGAGGGAAACTCTGTCCCATCTACTGTGGGTGGCCCACACCCTCCTCTGCATGGATGACCCCTAATCCCTGTCCACTACACATGTTCCCTTCATAAGGGGTGTCCCTGATCCCTCCATATGGGTCCCCCACTCACTGTCACCTCCATATGGGTGTTCCTCTCACCCTCTTCTGCATTTATGTCCCCAGACCCCTGTCCCCTTCATATTTTCCCTTCATAAGCTATGTCCCTGATCACTCCATACAGGTGTCCCTCACTCACTGCCATCTCTATATGGGTGTCCCTTCCACCCATGGTGCCCTTGGCCACCCCATCACCCCATCCCCATGAAGCAGGTACCCTGGGCCACACAGCAGGATGGGAGCAGGGCTGGATGTCCCTGTCCCCACCCACCAAGAGGGCAGCACGGCCGGTGAACCCCCTGTCCCCATGCATTGGGGTGCGTACTCACGATGATGCCGGCTGTCCAGGGGTTGAGCAGCAGCAGGGCGCAGACCAGGAAGGTGCAGGCCAGCAGGATGCTGATGGCCAGCAGGAACCAGTGGCGCAGGCCGATGTACTGCTCCCAGAAGAGGAAGGGGTAGCCGCTGGGATAGCTCAGCACCCCATGGCGCTGGGCGGCCTCCCGGCAGATGGCCCTCACGCTCTCGATGGCCTCCACGAAGTCAGCCGTGCGACGCAGCCCGCTCAGGTAGAAAGGGAACTGGGCAAACTCCAGCGGCTGGGCTGCTGGGACTGGAGAGGAAAGCACGGGCAGTATGGGGGTACGGGCAGCACAGCGGTGCACGCAGCATGGGGACACCCCGACCGCATCAGCCTGAAGGGCAGCATGGGGGCAACCCGGGTACCACGGGGATGGGGAGTGTGTGGGGAGAAGACATGGGGCAAGGAGAGGGGAACCCAGCAGGATGGGCAGGGGGTCACCGGGATCAGGGACTTTCTCTGCAGAGGAATGTTTGTGGGGCAGAGAGGTAACAGAGTAGAGGGGCTTCTTTGTGGCGAGATGCTCGTGGGCTGGAGCAGGGGGGCACAGGGAGCGTGCAGTGGGGTGCTCAGGTGGATGAGGGTGGGATGAGCGTGGGGCATGGGAAAGCAGGACAGTTTCTCTACCAGAGGATGCTGATGGGATAAGGAAATGGGGGGGTGGTTCTTTTGGGGGGGATGCTTGCAGGGCAGGAAATGTGTAGGGATCTGGGTCCTCTGCAGGGGGATACCAAGGGGCAGGAGGGGGCTGTGGGGAGCCCACCACGCTCACTCACTTCGCAGGTTCTCGCCCGTGGTGTCGTACTTGTCATGGATCCACTCAGGCGGTGGAGGGTAGAAATTGGCCTGGGAGGCGGCAAAGCCCAGGGGGTCGTTGCTGGCCCACACCGTCAGGCAGATGTAGAAGGTGTCAGGGGGGATGATGCCATTCTCGTCCACCAGCCGCCGTGTGGTCAGCTTCAGGGAGAGAGCAGGAGCAGGCATGAGTAGGGCAGTGGACATAGTGTTGTCCCCAACCCAGGTGCCCCAGACCCATCCCCATGTACCTGATTGAAGTTGAAGGGCTCTTTCTTGTCGCCGGTCTGGATCAGGAGCTTGTATGCCAGCGCCCCGTCCTCGGAGCCGTTGCGGTAGCTGTCATGGGTGATGCGCCCCGCTTGCCAGTCCCTGTCGAAGGTGGCCTGGAGTCCTGGGGACACAGCGTAGGGGGTGAGCATCCCTTGGGGCACACCATCTTGCACGGCATCCCGTGTGTCCCAGAGAGCGGGATGGGCACCCAGAAGCCCCAGGGTTCAGCTTGGCATTACTGGGCACTTTGGGGACACCATGGGACCACCCACAGCAAGAAAGGCATGCCCAGGCTAGGGGGGAGGGTGTGGGCTGGGGAGAGGGTCCTTGGACAGGGGAGGTCATGGAGAAGAGGGATGTCCCTCACCTCGCAGCCAGTCCTGGAAGTAATGAAGCCACATCTTGGGCAGGTCACGGTTGCCCTCCCGCACCACATACTTGACTGTGCTGAAGGCCTGGTGCAGGCTGAGCAGGGCAGCTTGGGCACCCGGGTAGTGGAAGCCACCCTTGGTGACGATGAACATATTGTAGAAGGAGAAGTACTTGAACTGGGCTGAGATGAAGGCATGTGCCTTGGTGTCCCGTGGCACGATGTCCGTCAGGTAGAGCCCGTCATGCACCATGGTGGTGCCATAGAGGCTCAGCCCCAGCAGCGCCAGGAACAGCACTGCCACCACTGCCTGTGGGGACAAGGAGGGGGGGTTAGGCAGGGTCCCATGCCAGCCACCCACCCAACCACCTCGGGTGGCACCACCAGGGCCATTCCCACCTCACCTTGGTCCGGGTCCGCAGGAGGAGTGGAGCGTATTTCTCCCGGGCGAAGTCGGCGAGGCTCCAGCGGCAAAAGGGCAGGGGGACACACTCCCGCCCACCCTTGGCCTCGTCCAGCTGGGCCAGCAGGTCCCGGGTGGAGCTGGACGGGGTGAAGACCTGCGAGCCCAGGGGGTCAGTGGGGGGCAGGAGGACGGCGGGCGATGTGCACACCTGGGAGGTGGGCGGCAGGACAGTGACGACGTGGTGGCCCGAGGGGTCACACCGGGTGAAGGCTTGCACGGTGGTAGTGATCTGGGTGCTGGTGGCCACGCCGGGGTGCCCATAAGGGGAGGGGTGGCAGGTGTGGTTGTCATTAGCATCGGCGAGCTCCTGGGGCTGGATCTGGATGACCCTCGAGGAGCAAGGGCTGCAGGGAGAGAGGAAAGGAGGAGAACATGTTGAAGGAGAGGATCAGAGCCACCCCATGCTTCTGGGGGGGACCTATGGGGTCAGCCCCAGCCCGGCCAGCCCGGCACTGGTACCTGTAGAAGCAGCAGAGGATGTCGAGCCGACGTCTCTCCCGGCGATACAGGTCCAGGCTCAGGATGGCAGGGAAGACGAATAGCACCATGGCAAAGTTGAACACGACAACCACCGCAGCCTGTGGGCAGGGATGGGGCTTTGAGCAACCTGGTCTAGTGAGAGGTGTCCCTGCCCATGGCAGGGCATTTGGATAATCCAAGATAATCTTTAAGGTCCCTTCCAACCCAAACCATTCTATGATTCTATGTCAGAGCTCGGTGTGGTCACCTCTTCCCACCCTCCCTGGAGAAAGACCCCAGCCGAACCTGGAGGGAGAAGGCACGCAGGGCAGGGATGGGCACCAGGGCTGCCATGAAGAAGGCGATCATGTTGCTGACGGAGGTGAGAGCCACACTGGTCCCCGTGCGCTTCAGGCACTCTCCCGTCCGCTCCTGTGGGGACAGAGGGAGGGGGTGACGAAAGGGGCTGCAGGGAGGCGGGAGGGGACAGGGCAGCCCCCAGGCAGGGCTCAGCGCTCACCTTGAAGGGGATGTGCTGGCTGGTCTCAGTGAAGGCATGAGCCAAGAGGAACATGTCATCCACACCAATGCCAAGGGCCAGGAAAGGCAGGACCTGACAGAGAGAAGCCAGTGTTGGTGGGGGTCATGGCCACCACCTGGGGGGGGACCTGGTCACCCTGCAGCCCCCAGGGTCCCACCAGCCCCACAGTACCTGGGCTCTTCCCCCAGCACGTACCTGGGTGGTGGCTGCATTGAAGGAGATGCCCAGCAATGAGCAAAGTCCCAGGCCAGAGGCCACGGAGAGAGCCACAAGCAAGACCCCGGCCAGGCCCACGGCCCCTTGGGACTTGGAGCAGTCCCACCGCAGCATGGTGACACAGGCATAGGCCAGCTGGAAAAGCAGAGTGGGTTAATGGGGACAGGGGGGATGAGGAAGGGATGGTGGGGGACAGAGAGAAGGGGCATACACACCATAAGGAGGTAGCCTCCAGCTACCCGGATGACGCTGACGTCAGAGAAGGACTTCATGATGTCGTTGAGAGTGGTGGTGGAAAAAGCATGGACGTTCTGAGTGGCATTGGGTGGGATGGAGTTCTGTGCCAGCTGCCAGAGGAACACCCCATTAGAGGAGTCAGGATCCCCCAGCTCCCCAGTACATCCCCTCCAAAGCCAGCCAGGGTGTCAGCATCACCACTGAGGGTCCCTAGGGACCCACTGGACCACAAGAGAGTGCTGCTACAACCCAAGGCCACAGGAAAACCTGGGTGCAGGGGGATGTCACACACAGGCTCACCCCTCCCCAATCCCACGTGGGGGCTGTCCCCAGTGCCCACCTCCACGAATTTCCTCTGCCAGGCCTCAAGGATGGCGCCCGCCTTCTCCTCGCTCCAGCTGATATCATGGATCTCGTAGTCATCCTTGAAGTGCTCAAAGAGCTGCCGGGGGCTCATGAGGAGGAACATGGTCTGCAGGGCCTCGGCGCTGTGGGACAGGCATGCACCTTGCTGGGACCGGCTGCAGCACCCCAGGATGCAGGAATGGGTCCATCCCCCACCCACAGCTCCCAGCCCCACCATGGACAGCCGGGAGAGGACTCAGGCATCCTGCCCCCTGTCCCCACCCTTGCTCTGAAGCACTGCCTTACTCACCAGCCCCATACACTCGCCAGCCCCATACGCTCGCCAAGCTCACACACTCTCCCAGGCAGCCCTGCAGCCCCTTTTGCAGCCATTTCCCCTGGGCACTGGATGAGGATGAGGACGAGGATGAAGGGACCCCACCCCAGGGGCAAATGCTGCAGCTGAGGCCCTTGCACCACGCCTGGGGACACCCGTGCCTCAGCAGCTCTCACCGTAGCAGCTTGCCCTGGGAGTCTTTGGTCGTGCCGCCTAAAATCAGCTCCTCCTGCCAGCGCATGAACTTCCTGGAGAAGCCGTGGCAGCCCCCCGAGAGCTCAGCCGGGATGTCAGGGCTCTGCAGGCAGAGGGGAGGTGTCAGGGATGCGAGACCATGGGGCAGGCAGGGGCGGAACAAGCCCCCGCACCCCTCCCGGTCCCCATGGGCAGGACCCACCTGCTGGCTCTGCTTGTTGGGGGCACTGGGGGGACACTGGGGATCCTGGGGGTCCAGGCACGGCCGTTCCATGTAAGCCTGCCCCACCTCTGCCTTGTCCAACAGCTCTTTGAAACCTTCCAGGGACGTGAACTGCCCCAGCTCCTCCATCAGCTGCAGAGGGTCCAGGTTGCTCCACTGGATGTCCGGGCGGCCCCTGGAGAGAGAGAGGCACCAGGGTGATGGGAGATGCTGAAACCCACATGCAGTAGCACCACCATCCCATCCCATAGGTCCCAGGATTGCCCTCCAAGGCAAGGTGCGAGGATGCAGAGGAGCAGCATCAGCCCCCAGCTGATGGGCAGCATCCCCTACCCCCCTCCCGGGCTGCCTGCGGCATCCCCCGTGCCCCGCGTGGCGCAGCGGGCCGTGCCCCGAGTCAAGTAGCGTGCCTGATCCTGTTAGGCTGGGACAAAGCGGGGGGAGCCGGCCCCACCGCCTGGCCCCGCTTTGTGCGAGCAGTCAGGCCGATTACTGCCCGCGGGCTAACATCTTGATAGAGGGGAGCAGGCAGGCAAGGGCTCCCAGCATCCCCTCCAGCCCTTCCTGCCATCCTCCCCCACGCTGGGGGTTCTGGGGCTCAGCAGAAGTTCTTGGGGCTCAGGATGGTGCTGGGAGCTGGGCACGGACCAGGTCCTTGAAGGTCCAGCAGGACCCCGTGGGACTTGGGTACCTGGGAAAAGGGGCTTTTCCCTTGCCCACAGATGCTCTGCTCACTCCATCCCAGCCCGCAGTCCTGGGGGCCAGCTCCCAGCCTCGCTCGGCTTCTTTTTTAAGACAGAAAGGACACACAAAAAAGCCAATAACCCAGCCCAGTCCTCCAAAGAGGGGAAGAAAAAGCCCCGAGCGAGTGTGGGCTCTGGGGAGAAATGCAGCCTAATAATTCATGAAGGCTGGCTGGGCCGGAGCCGGCCGCTCGAGATTCCCACATACCAACCGGAGCTGCTGCTGCTTCCAAAGAGAGCCCCTTTTATCTGCTTTCGCTTGCTTCACTGAGCCAGGGCAAATCCTTTTGTCTTTCCATAGATTGCTGCTCTTTGTTCTCCCAGCTCCCGCCCCGCTCACCCCTCGGCGTTAAAAAGGGGGACGAGTCCCCACGGGCTGGCCGGCGCTCAGCCGGGGTGCCCGCTCGGGCACCCGCTTACCCGGCTGCGAGGAGAGCTGGGTCCCACTGCTGCTGCGGGTGTCACCCTGCCTGCCACCCTACCCCAGCCACCGGGATGCTGCCCACCCCAGCAAACAATGCCACCAGCATCCCACTTGGCACGGCCACCCTAACCCTGCTCGCTCCCACTCCCGGCTGATCCCCAAGCTGGGATGGGGGAGAGCCTGAAGTCTTGGGTAGGGGGGTTGGAGGAGGGGGCAAAGCCGGTCCCCCAAGTCCTGTCTGGGGATGCTGCGGCCCCTTCCCCCTCCTCCCGTCCAGCAGCAGCCTGAATAAGGCCACTATTTCATCTGTTTGGCAAGGGGCAGCTTTCAGAGCAGCATTAGCATGAGAAAGCGCGGGGCTTCGTTTGCTGACAATGCACAAGCCGCCCCGGCTCTCCCGGACAAACACACGCGTAAACAGAAGGAATGTTGGGGGGTGTGTGTGGTGTGTGTGTGTGCGCTCCCCCCGCCCAGCCCGGGGTCCCCAGCCCCACCACCGTGGTGCGGGGAGCTGGTTGGGAGTCACCCACCACCCACCCTGGGGACTCTGCGCCCTCTGTGTTCCTGGGCGCAGCTCTCCTCGCTGTGGTGGCACCCACAAAGAGTTGGAGAGGGGGAGAGCAGTCCTCAGGGACCTGTCTGCAGGATGGCCTCTGTCCCCACGTCCCCATCTCTGGCTGGTGCGTGGACACAGCACGGCAGGGATGGGCACCTCCTGCCCATGCCACCTGGTCCAGGAAGTCAAGGACAGGAACCTGTCCCAGGGGTGTTGACCCAACTGGATGAGCAATGGTGGTGGGACCACCCTGGGGCTGAGCAGAACAAGCAGCAGCAGCACCAGGCTACATGGGGAGGAAAAGCATAGCCCTTCAGCAGCCCCCCCAAGCCCTGTTCCCACCTGGATCCTCCCCCCTCCGCACCCCAGAACAGCCCCCCAAACTCACGGGAGATACGCTGAGCCTCCCTGCAGCTTGGAACCTTCCCAGAAGCAGTCCAGCGGCGTCAGGATCACACAGGGGAACAGCTTCTCTATCATCTGTGGGAGAAGGAGATGCGAGAGGTTAGCAGGGATGGATCAGGCCCCCTCCTGTTCACCCCTCCCTCCTGGGCTGCCCAAACCTGCACCCTCCCGCACGGAGCTGGTGGTGACTTTGCAGCACCTGGCGCTGGAAAACCCCATCCCCACCGCGGCCCATCAGCTTACTGTTTCTTGGGGGACCAAGCCCCCATGGGGGGGGTGCCTGGGAGCCACGCCATGCCCACCACTCACCCTCTCAATCATGCCGTTCTCAATGATGGGGACACCCGACTTGTAGCAGATCTTATTCAAATCCCACGATCTGAAAAAGCAGGAGGAGCTGAGGATGGGCATAATCCCACAGGAGGCACGGTAAGGGATGTGGGGGACACGCAGGACATGGTGGGGGTCCCTGTGCCCCCCCGGCCGGAGCAGGACTCACTTTCCGTACAGCGAGACTTGGACTTTGCTGGCGGCCAGGGCCGCCTCGAGGTGGAGCTGCAGGGCCTCCTGCGTCAGGATGTTTTCCCCATCCCGCTTCGGGGTCTGGATCAACATTTGGGAGGTGTAGACGGACTCCTCACCCAGCTTCTCCTTGGTGTAGCGCAGCTCCTGGCTCACTCGGCTGCCCGCTGCGGAGGGAACCGCAATGTGCCCTGTCAGTGCCAAGGCATCTCACCAACCTGTCTTGTCCATCAGGATGCCCAGGGAAGGGAACGGGTGGAATGAGGCCCCGCAGCACCAGATGATGCCATGTTAACCTGGGGGGCTTCTAGCCATAGGGTTCCCTAACTGCTGCATCCTCTGGGTGGTCGCACCCAGGGAACCCAAACGGGGAGCACCCTAACTCATGCCAGACCAGGCATCCCCCTTCCCGCTGACACGGATATTTCCAGCCCCAGATCAGCTCCTTGGTTTTGCTTTCCCCAGGAAAAAACCCACGGACATGATGAAGTGGATGGGAGGCATCCTGCCCACTCCCACCCACACGCTGCAGTGGGTGCTGCGGACGCCCAACACAACCGGAGCGAGTGAAACCGGGGACACCCCACCTCGTTCCTGCCCAGCTGCTCCCTGGCACTCCAAGGTGGGCAACTTTTCGGCCACAGGATGAGCATAGGGAGTGATGGGCACCCCCAAACCCTGACAAGAGCAGGCTGCCCCAGGAGAGGCTTGCAGACAAGCAAAGGAGATGGTGCTGGGAAGCTTCCCAGGAGCCTTCTCCTCCCACCAAGGCTCTAGGATCCATCCCCGAGAGCAATGGGAGAGCTCTGAGCGTGGCAGGGCCAAGGTTTCTGGGAGAAGCCACCGACTTTATTTGCAGCCATCTTAGTGCAGAAGAGAAATCCCCCCCTCGCCAGCATGGCTGGGGCTGAGCTCAGATCCCAGGGACACCCGTCCCCATTAAACCAGGGGCTGCCACCCCTCCTGGCACAGCGAAGGGGGAACAACACAGCTTGAAGGAGGGCGGGAGGAGGCCAATCCTGAGACCCTTAAGCACAACACCCGGCCACCCTGTTCCCAACCCTCTGCTCGGGGGAAGCGGGGGATGATGTATGTAGCCCCCACTCCCATGCCACCCACCAGGGATGCCACAGGCTGCCCAGTGTCAGGGTACATCCTGAGGCAGCACTGGTGGTGGTGGTGGGAGGCTGGCTCCTGCCCAGCCCCCCGGTGCTGGGGAAGGGAGGGGGTTCAGGATTCATCTGTGCTGGGATGCTCCCTCAGCAAGAGGCGGGGGCCCCGGCGGGCCTGGCCCCCCGCCAGCGCCGAGGAGGCCAGAGCGAGACCGCAAATAAGGAGCAGAATCTTCCCTTTTAATGACTTATTATATGGGTTGGTGTTTTTCAGTGGTTGGTTGGTTGTTTTTTTTTTTTTTTCCCCCTGCTTTTTGGGAATGGAGGGGGGGAAGCGTCTTTATTGTTCCTGGCTGGGCCGGGGAGCAGCTGGTGTCCATCAGATGCCAGTTGGGATAGAGGTTGTGCCAGGTCCGGGGAGGGGGGGGACACGGCCACAGCCTTTGTGTGTGTGTCAGAGGGGAGGGCAGCGCCTGGGGCAAGGGGACGAGGACACAGAGAGGGTGGGTGTCACAGGGAGGGAGGGGGGGAGCCCGTCCCCTTCCCGGCAGGCTGGGAGGTCGGGCAGGAGGTGCGCCGAGCTGCTCTGATCTCAGCCGCGCCACCCACGCTGAAGCTGGGCGGGTGGTGGGACAGGGTGATGGGGGGGGGGGAGGTTGTTGGGGGGTGATGTGCCCAGCATCGCTGCCGTTCCCGGGGGATGCATCCTGCTGCCTCCCGTGGGCATCTCCACCCAGCACGGCCACGGGAGGAGCAGCACATCTGCAAGCATGGAGGGGCAGGGGGAGAGCCCCCCAAA